TCTGTTAAGTTGCTTTATCATAAAGACATTAAAACACCAAATGAATTTACTAATTCTTTTTTACCAGTATTTTTGATCTCGAGAAATTTCATGAGATCCTTGTTTTCCATTACAGCATCCCAAACCTTTGGGTCAGATGCAATGGAAGCAACAACAGTCTGAAAAAAGGGAAACAACACACGTTAAAGAGTAGCACAAGCGAGAAGCTTAACCAAAAGCAACAAAAGTTCTTCTAATAGTTAAGGCAACACACACCTGCGCAGCAGTGTTTTCACTAAGAAAAGCAAATGCCTGAAGAGCAACTTGTGGAACAGCTGATTCAATAGCTCTGTTCTCAGAAGATTGAAAACTTGAGTGCATCTTGGAAACAGAACCAAGATCATTTGAATTTTCCATTGGAGATTTGATATACACCCTAACAAAATGTTCATAAATCCATAAATAACAATACACAAACATAAACACAAGTTTAGATGTATGTAGCTAGCTATACATAGCAACAAAAATCAAACCAAGTATTTCAAAATGACAAGACTTTCATTTTCAATAACTCTCTGCATCACTAAAGGCTGTTTCTGCACCTCATATGTAACACAATCAAGATTCCTCTAAAGAAAGCAGATCCATCATTAGATCAATCGATGAACTATAAATCGCATATTTGGAGTTCGAGAGTCGAGAAAGAAGATTTAGGGTTAATCTTACATATTGATAGCCTCTTTCAGATCTTCGGTTGCTTCTTTTGCCTCTTGGAGAGAAGGAGGTTTGCTGAAAACAACCCTAGGAATTGGCTCCTCTTCGGCGAATTCCCAATCGTCCCAAACCGGTCTATGCATAATCATCGAGTCGTCTTCGACGGAAGGATGAGCCACCGATGAAATCGAAGCCGATACCGGCTTAGGAACGGCGGTGCTTTTGACCATAAACTGCTCACTCGCCGGAGAAGGCGCCGCCGCCGCGAATCCGAATCCTCCCCTGAATCCTCCTTTCGCGACTCCGATTCCAGCCACCTTCGCCGCCGTCGCCATAGCTCTTCCTCCTCCCATGGTTCGAATATTCTCCGATTTGCAGAGATTTTTGTGTTCTCGTTGCGATCGGCGAAGAAGAAGATATTGATTGAATTTAAAAGAAAGGGAAAATACCTTATCCGCGAAGTTAATAAAATGACGTCAGCAAGAAAATTGCCGACATTTAATATTTAATTTAATTAACGTAAATAATCCCTTTCGTCCAAGTTATTTTATTTCTATAATTCAGTCTGTGATCAGTCTAGTAGTAGTTTTAGCAGATTCGGTTCATTTCATCATAATTTTGTGAATTTATTCAGTGAATTATTTTAATGATGATACAGAAAACAAACTTTCGTTCTTGATTTTTTTTTGTTTGTTATTTAGTAAAATTTCAAGGTTCATTTCTTGATTTTTATTACGATCACCCAAAATTTCTGTTCATGTTTCGAAATTTCATTAGTATATTAATATTTTTTACACCCGTACTACGTATATTCGAAAAAAATTAGGTTAATATATTAATATCTTCCATAAATCATTCCAAATATTCTATAAATCTTCCGGTTTATACATTAGTTTAAGGTTGTTTTTCTTCCATATTATGGAAGATCTTCTAAGATTCTTTACTTCCAAATATTCTATAAATCTTCGGGTTTAAATATTGAGGAAATTAGAAAAATGTTATTTTTTATGTGTATATTTGCAAAAATGTCATTTAAGGGTGTTCTTTTGCAAAAAATGACACTAATTATAGATTTTTAAACCCTATATCTTAAAATTCTAAACATTAAAAAATGTTTTGACCCCTAAACCCCCCTAAACTTTCATAACTAAACCATAATAGAACATAATTAACCCAAACATAAATAATATAAAAAAAAAATAATTTTTAAAAAGTGGCATTTTTGTAAAGATTTCAAAAGTGTGACATTTTTGTAAAGTGGCACTTGAAAAGTGGTATTTTTTTGAAATTTCTCTTAAATATTTATGAAAAAAATAACTTAAGCTCTCCTAAGATTTCTTAACTTCCAAATATTCTATAAATCTTCGGGTTTAAATATTAATGAAAAATAACTTAACCATATTTTTT